CTGGGGGCGTGCGCCCTCCGCCGGCTGCCCTCGTGGATGCCTCCCGGCGGCGGCGGGCCCATGAAAGACTGCGAGTACAGTCAGATCAGCACCCACAGCTCCTCCCCCATGGAGTCGCCCCACAAGAAGAAGAAAATCGCGGCCCGGAGGAAATGGGAGGTTTTCCCGGGAAGAAACAAGTTCTTCTGCAATGGGAGGATCATGATGGCCCGGCAGACAGGCGTCTTCTACCTGACGCTCGTCCTCATCCTGGTCACTAGCGGACTCTTCTTCGCCTTCGAGTAAGTGGCGGCGAAAGCTCCGCGACGCCTGGGTCCCCTTGCCCTCCCGACCCCGGCCCCTCCTCTCGCTACTTTCGTTTTCTAGAAGCCTTATCTGCTGTACATTGTTATATAATGCAAACCCGCGCGCTCTCTTTTTCTTTTTAAGGTCCATTTGCTTTTCGGTCCCCGGGGTTAATGCAGTCCTGGGCCGGGCTCTGGGAGTAGAGAGGGGCAAGGGGACACCTGTCAGGTGTGGAGGCCTCGTTGCTCCCAGGGTAAGGTGGCACCTCACAGGTGACCGGTTCCTGGCGCTCTCTCTACTGAGTTTGCAGACTAGTAAACCAGCCCAGATGTGGCTTTCTGTGGGAAGCGGGGGTGAGGCAGATTGTTCCGGCGGCGATAAATAGAACCGACTTCCTTTCTTGCTCACAAGCTGTAGAGCATATTGTTAAGCCCACTTCACTAAATCTTCTGTATACCTTCGCCGAATAAGGAAGAATCTTGGTTATTTTAGGCCACCCCTTGTAGCCTGGGAGGATAATTTCATTTTTCATTCTCCTTAGATGTTCACTCTTGATCAACAATTTCTGATTTCCCACGAGGTTTTTAAACTCTTCACTTTCAAAAATGTTTCAATAAAATATGTTCCAAACAGACACATTCCCCTCCCCTCCCAATATCCGGGAACAGGTGGAAGGAGACTTTAGGCCTGTTCAGGAAGAGCATGACGCTGCCCAGTAACTTCAGATTCCAGAAACAATACTTTGGAACTTTTGGGCTTTTATTTGGAAAAAGTGTATGCAAGTCTTCATCGTTTTCAGGAAAATCAGATTGGACAGAGGCAACTACCCTCCTGCCAACTAATGAAAGATCTTCTTATTTATTAATAGATTAGATAAAGTAGTTTAACTACATGCCAGAATCAATTTCAATTGCTCTTATTGGGTCCAACATTTGCAATGCAGTTTCCTATGTAATTCCTGGTATCTTAATGCTCAATAAAAGTTGTAGCTACTTCAAGTTCCCTACTCCCCAGTCCCCAATTATTTAAAAAACCATTATATTTATTGGGGGCTCTTTGCATTTCCTATGCCCTAGTTATTATGGCATATGATACTCTTCCAGTCTCCATCTTCTTTTGGATAGGGTTAATTAGAATCTTCTGTGTTTATTTACTTTTGACTCTGATAAATATTAATAGGCTTTGATTTTGTGCCTGGCTTTTGATATTCCAAATGCTGTCTCAATCAGAAATGGATGACCACGTGACAGTGTAACACTTTTCGCTTAAAGCTCTCCCACTCTGAGGGGAAGCATTTTGTATCTGAACATTGGGCTATGATGAACAATTTTAACAGGATTGAGTTAGAATAGGTGAAGAGAGAGATCTTGGAGGTAAGCTACTCACCTCCCCAGTCCACTTGTAACTATGTAAATTTTCTCTCCCTGAAGCTTAACTTTTGTGCATGTTTGAGACTAGTTGGAGTCTGTTGGGGTACCTGAGGATGGGAGGGGAAGGATGCCTGGGCTTTTGGGGTGGCAGTATAAGTGCTCTGTTCCTCCTGCTGTTGCTCCACTTGTCCCCTTCCAGAGCCAGTCCCTGTCCTTGCAGACCTGGGAATCCGGGTAGTTTGCATCCTGAGTCATAATAAATTCAGGTGCTGGCATGATGCTGCTGGGGAGTTGAACAGAAATGCCATCCTTCTAATGGTGGCTTTCCTTATAGGTCATCCTTTAGATAGTGTTCACTATGTTCCTAATATTAGAAGAAGTTTTGAACAGTTCAATATTGGCATTTTTGCTCTTTTTAGCAATTTTAAGAGAAAATAGATTAATTTTGAGATTCTGTGACAGCTTTAGCCCCAAGTGTGCTTCATGTAGGATGATGAATATTTCATTTTCTATATACACCCAAATTCCCACTGTATGGGCAGGGATCCCCTGCAGTTATCGCTTACCATCTTTTGTTTTCTTCATTCAAGCATTGCTTTTAATGAGATCACCATAAATTCGCTTTCATTTCTTGATCTCTGTGTGTGCTTCTTCCTAGAGTTCCCCAAAATCCTCACTAGAAGGTTGTTAGGGAACTTTCTCTGCATCAGTGTTGTGTTCGCTGATGACTGTAGGAATAAACGTGCATTGGGATTTTATTAGCTACCGCTGGTAGCTTCATATTTAGATTAGGGTGTGTGTGTGTGTGTGTGTGTGTTCCTTGTGTGTGTGTGTGTGTGTGTGTGTGTGGTCCTTGTGTGCGTGTGTGTGTGTGTGTGGTCCTGGTCTCCACGAGTGTTGCTTCAATTAGGCAATTTGAAATTTCAAGAAAATAGGCCTATCCTAGCATGATGTCTCACCATGATGTTGAAAAAAATCACAGGGCTGTTCAAACTATAGAATATTTTAGTCTGGCTAAAAATATTTGTCACTGTGTTGCTTTTAAGTTTTTTATCACTGTTAATGACAGAGAAAAATTAAATGACTTCGGCCAAATTAATTTGATAGACCCAGAGAACCAATTAGTTACATGCATGGGAAATGAAATACCACCAGGCTAAAAAAAAAAAAGATAAGTGAACTTGGCAGTTTTGTCTGTCCCCTGCCTGCCTGCCTTCTGCCCCTCCTTTAGTTATTTACTGGGCACATACTACGGGATTGCCTATTTGATTAATTTCATGTCTAGGTAACTTTAATATTAGTCAAATTCATTTTCAAACATTAGAGTCCATGTTTCCCCGTACAGTTACACAAAGGCAAATACACAATTTAAAAAGAAGACATAACTTCTAAAGTTAGTTTTAGACTTTTTCCTTCAACTTTTCCCACCTCATCTCTTATTCCTGATCTTGAACAAATGACAAGGAAGTTTGTACAAAAGAAATGGACTTACGGAAACGCAGCAACAGGTGTTGATACTGTCTTCAACCCTGGGGGAAAGGCAGGATAGCAGTTATTATTCCCACAATGAAGATGAAGTGACAGAGGCTTTGCAGAGGTTAAATGATCATCTAAGGTCATGCCCTGACTAGTGGCAGCGCTTCTGATTGCAAAGCCCGTGCCCTTTGCAACCACTGTGCTGCTCTTCCTTCCAAGTATAGATTAGTGGCTAAAGGCATGGATTTGGAAGGACAGATCCCAAGGTTTTTACCAGAAGTATGACCCTGGGCAAATTGTTTGACTTTTCTAAGCCTCAGTTTCCCAATCCGTTAAGCGGGTACTGGATTTAATTTCCATCTTTGGAGCTACCATCAGCAATGTAAAGACAGTAAAGAAAGCTACTAGCAGCAACCTAATGCAACTTTCTACTCCTTTTCAAGAAAGGTGGGGCTATTTTGGCATCTTGGCATGTTTTATTCAACATATGGTGTACTGATGCACAGTGGCAGCATTTCATAACTGCTGAAGAGGGCTGAGAGGAAGCTGGTCGCAGTGCCATGGAGACATCTCTCAGCTCCTTGCAGTTCATAAGGGGCTGGCTCATCAGGGCTCCCCACAGTGTCCTCATTCTCACCCCCCAGGTTTGCAATTTGAAAAGTTCAGGGAACATTACAATTTCTTTCTCTCTGAAGTGCACTCACATAGAGCCTGCTTTTGTTTAGAATTGAAAATCTGAAAACAGAAAGTCTTTGGTCTTGAAATGTTGACATTTCACAGTCTCTTAATCACAGGGGCAGAAAGATGAATTAGAAGCCACATGAGGTTGGTGTTTTCAGGAGCATCCTGTGAGGGGAGGCACGGTCTGCTCAGACCTTGGATTTGACTGTCTCCAGTTCTGTGCTGATGCTGAGTGGGGAGATGTTGCTGAGACTGAAGTACTTGAGGCTGAGAGCATCTTAATTTCTCATCACTGGAAGTCTAATGATGAGTTTTCTTTTCCTCCCCCTCCCTTTACTCTCTCCCTTCTTCCCTCCATTTCTTCCTTTTCCTCCTTCTAATTTCTTTGCCTAATCCCCTCTGAAATAATTGATGAATAATTGGTAGTCAGTGGAACTGGTCATGTTTGCCTTGAAGATGTAACAAGGGACTGTCTCCTGTACAAAAGTGCTCTTTCCAATAGTAATTTCTCCCTTATACATTGGAAATACTTTGTTACCTAGTAGAAGATACTGCCCTTATGACATGTAAGGGCCTGTATTTTCTCAACTGTCCTGTTCAGAACTGCCTCAAGTTCTCTACCATCTCAGAAAATACCTGGAAAGTGTCCCCTCTTCTGGCCAGATGCTGGCCATGCTGTGAATGGTAGAACACCATGGGGTTGGTAGTAGATGACCATCAGGACTTTATATCCAGCATTCCCTCTTAGCATAGTAGATGCCATCAAGGATACTTCATAATCCACTATGGCGCTACAAGAATTTTAGATGGCTTCAAAACCTTATTAAGGACTCTTGATAAGAGTGTACTAACCCACTCTTTTGTGAGCATGATGAACAGGTGTTAGTTCCATGAGGCTAGGGACTCCATTTGTTTTGTTCACTGATGTATCCTCAGAACCTTGAATAGTACCCGGTACATAGCAGGCTCTCCCTAAATATTTATTGCTTAATGAAATAGTGGTAATAATGAAACATTCTGAAAAACGACATCCTTGTGCTTCAGGGTTTCATTTTGTAAAGTTGTGAACATTAATCAAATTTATAATAATGTCTCATAGGATGTATTTGCCGTAGAAATTTTAATTATTCAATGTAATTCTTCTCATTTCAGAATCAAGCATCATCCTTTTTCAAATGTGTTAATTGAAGCAGAGGAAACAAGATTTTCTTAGTTACTTAGAAGCCTAGTGATAGAACTGGCGAACCAAGAAGTCATTCCAGTTTTTCGTTATTTTTAAACTAAATGCTTTTAAGTAAATAAGGTACTCTGTGATACATATGAATGTTACCCAACAATCACCAACTAAAATAATTTCACATTTAATAGGTTTTTGACTTTGGATGCTTGAATTTATATAATAAAACTCTCGTACTATTGACTGCTTATGTTTTATTGTAATCTCTCTCAGCTAGTGGGAAATGATACCA